TCACAGCCGCTGCAACCAATCGCCGTTAGCTACCCGTCGCCTGCGCCAAGAAGTCCACCAGCGCATGCACCTCTCTGACACCGATGCAGCGTCGAGCAGCTCACAACTACACGTTCAGCTTCCCGGTGCCACGAGGCTCTGCATAGCTTGCGAACTGAAGCGTGTGGCATGATTCGCAGCATCACTTGTGGCTGCTCTAGGCCTGCTCCTGAACACGCAGGCACGACTGTGAAGCTCGTTCGTGCCGTGCTTCTGCCTGAGGATCTCAAAGGCATCTCCGGGTGTGTACCTTGGACCACTGGGGCCACGGCTTCCCTCATCCAGTCATCGCCAGGCACCTAGCAGTGGATCGAATCCGTCGTTGAGTGCCCTCAAACAGAAATCGGAGATCTGAAGGCAGAGTCACAAGTCGCATGATATTTTTTTATCTTCCCCGGCATCGAAGGGCCCGGTTTGCTGCCCAGGCAAAGCAAGCTCTTGCCCGAGACTGCAGGCCTGAAGCAGGGATCCAAGCTGGAGTCTTAAAAGGACGTCTCACGAGTACATGTGAGTAGATGCAAATGTAACAATCTGAATATGTGTTATTTGTAGTGGATTTCCCGAAAGCGTGGCGAAGGGCTTTGCTAGGAGGTAGTTTGGATAGCATGATGTGATGCTGATGACGGGAGGTTGCCTGTAGGCCGTGAGGTTACATGGCGTGATGCGCATGTGGTGTCGTATTGATTGTATAAAATGATAATAATATAGCCTCGAAGTGTCTGAATCCCGCCAATACTGCGAGGAAGCATCGCGGTCAGATCTCTGAATAGTACTTCGCGGGGTTCTTGCGGCCGGGCTTCTGGATCTGGATCCCAATCTTTGGGGGGAAACATTTTGGTCGTGTCCTGGTGGTCTTGGTGGTCGCCACGCCATGGTCGAGGGCCATCACCAGGCATGAGCCGAAAAAATGGATGGTCACGGTCTGGTCACACTGTTGCTTCGACCCCGAGCGGCACTTCGGAGCCGCTAAGACTCAGAAGTTTAGCAAACATGCGCGATGTGTTCGCTTTCCGTGCGAAGGCGGAGCAGGGTTCGTGCCTTGACCGAAGCCGCTCTGGTCGTAAAGGCCTCAAGGGCATGCTTCTCAAGCCCATGGGAATCTCGCCAGATTTTGGGTCGCGCGAAATCGACAAGCGCATGCAGAGCCGCGACGAACGGCTCCCGATCATCTGTCTGACTTTTGCCGGTAAATGGGGGGAACCTTGAGGAAGAATTTTGGTCGCGCCAACTCACGAGACGTGTGCGGTGACATGGTTCTCGCAATTGACAACCCTTCCAGGCTGAGCTGCCGTGTCTGCGTTCCCCGGTGAGCGCGATCCATGGTAAGCATCCCAACACCTTTGCCACATGTTGGAAGCATTTTCGCTGTGGTTCGGAATCCCAACACTACATTGAAATTGTGGACATGTCTTGGAATCTGATGGCGGAAGGCATCGCCGCCATGGTCATGAATAGGGCGAAAGAAGCTAGGTCCAGGGTTTGTACAAGCCTGTGTAGAGGAGCTTCGAGGAGGGTTTATATGGTGATAGATGGACGGTGATGGATGGTGATGGACGGACGGACGGACGGATGGACGGATGGACAAATGGACGGCGGGATGACTGATGGACGGATGGACAAACGGATGGACGGTTGGATGGATGGAGGGATGGATGACATGATGCTGGGCGTTATTTTGCCGCTCGAAACGCTTTCGGGACACTCGTTCTGTTTCACTGCTTTGATATTTCATCCGGATGACAAAGGAAGAGCCTCCTGGTACAAGCCAGGCAGGCTTCGCAGCACCGACTGTGCGTCCACAGGCAGCATCAACACAGCCGGCAAGTGAACCAAAGCGAACCTTGCGACCCACCAGGCCTGACAGCTGACAAACGCTCACAACGTGCACTAGCAAACATTCGGAAGCCCCAAAGCCTGGAGCGTAGTGCGCATACTTGGCCGAATTGGTCATCAGCACTCGGCTTGAGGCTGGGAGCACAGAGGCCGGTGCTGGCACCACCTGTGGGCGATTCGAGCTCATACTCTGACATGTGCTCTGCTGTGCTCTGCTGTGCTTTAGTTTGTCTGCGCAAGTCTCCGGCCGCCTCTCCCAACATGCACCAGCAGGTGTCGCTGACGAGTTGAACACCAAACTCTTCAAGAGCCGCTGAGTATCCTCGTTCACGCGCTTGGGCCAGAACCTGCAACAGTTGCACACATCGCTCGGGGTGAGTGGCCCCCCTTTCACTGAGTCTCTCTGGTGTTTTCTGGCCTGCGGGCCGGCGGTGAGGACCACCGCCACAAGGGGATGCTTCTCGCGTCCCCGGCACAGCTCGGCAAGGCGTCGGTGCTCTTCCAACGAGAAATGCGGATTCCCAAGCGCCACGAGGTCAACTTCGCTCTCATCGGCGTCGGCATCCTACGGTAGCTCTTTGCGGAGGCTGATGGCGCACATGAACAGCCTAGGGTGACTGCCGCTAAGCGTCGAGGTCTGTCCACGCAGACTTGAGGTCATCCTGCCCAAGTTGTATGACCTGGCACAGGCATGAGAGCCGTTGTTGTTCTCCCTACCGAGCCTTCTGCAAGAGCGAGGATGCTTGCCTCCAGCTGCCTTTCCGGGAGCACATTTTGCAGGTCACGTGCCTGCTTGCACCAAACTGCAATGGCACGCAGCGAACCACCATCTGTGACTCAGCGCATTAGACAGCGTCACAGAAAGGCTGAACGTCCAAGCTCTCGTTCCTCGGGAGTGAGGCCGACGAGGTGGAACATTGCCGCGGAGGAGCTGGTTCCAAATGCCGCGCTGAAGGCCTGAGGGCAAAGAGCCCAAAAGATGCAAAGGGGAACAGACAAAGGCAAAAAGGCAGTCAGACAAACAACAGTCAACAAAGAGCCTTCAAGTCATCCCGCGTCGGTGCCAAGTGCTCCAGACCCGTGATAACCGGCACTGAGTGAGGAGATCGCAGGCCACAAAGGTATCCCAAGGTTGGATAAAAAGCGTCGTCCAGCTGGCCTCACCGGGTTGCACTACGCCGCTCCCGCTTCACGGCCCTCGCCGATCAAGGGCCTGGATCTAGCTCTGGGGCTGCCAGGATGACCTCTGGCTTCCGGTCCCCGTCAACATGACAGCCAGCCCGAGGTGCTCGGCCGGTAATCGCTACACATGCATCCAGAAAGTCCGCGTACTTCTGGGTTCCTCGGACATCGTTCTACTGAGTGCACTGCAATGGGTGCACTGTTCCTCTTGCAGAGCCAGGCTTCGTGCTCCCAAAACGCTGTTGGCAAAGACCACGGCATTGGATTCCCCCCATCCAATCTGCTCCCCTAGTCGCGGGGCATTCTCCAACAGGTAGGGTGCACACGTAAAGCTCGGCGCAGCGCCCATCGCGAGGTAGGCATTCGCGAGAGCCTCTGCCGGCTCTCCCGAATCCGCCGGGACGCCAAGCGCCCGCCAATTCAGTCTGTCCACAGAGATGGCATTCAGAGTTGTCGGGACACGCACCTCTGCGCCCCAACTTCGAAGTTTGTCTGCAAACCGCAGGCTCGCAGGGCCGATGTAAGTGCAGCCATCGATGTGTGACTGGCTGACGCTGATCAAGTCCTTCACCCCCTGTACCCTGGCCATGCGGCAGATGATGCCTCGGCCCGAGGCCATGGGAAAGCAGCACAAGGCCCTCGTGCCCTCTCACAATGCTACTGCCACTACAAGATGCTGCATGCGTGCAAGGCTGAGCATCCTGCGCATCGCTGCTTGTCTCGCAGGGCCCTCGACTCCCTGTAACATGCTCTGATCGTCTGCACTGAGCTCCACCTCAAGCCACGGAACATGGCAATCTCAACGCACGTGGCCGAGGACGTCAGGCGCAAACGCTTTACACTTGGCCTCGTCGCTTGGGAGTCTCGGCTTTGTTGGAGCTTGGCCCGCTATGCCGGTCTGCCCCAGGAACAACGAACCATCTTCCAGGATGGCGTGTCCAGCATGCGAGGATAGCAAGCGAGCGAAGCCGGCATCCTAGCGTCTTCCACTCTCATGCCTCCTAGCACTTCCTGCCCGCAACGCATAGCCAGTGCATCCCAGCATCCCCCACGCTCATCACCGGTAATCGAACGTCAAACATCTCTTCTGCCACGATAGCACCGAGAGCGATGATCTCATCCGGGTCCCGCAAGACTATGGCAGCAGGCCTGGCAGAAAAAGGGCTCCGACCTGGCTTCTTCGATGTTCCAGCTTCGAGGATCCCGGCTAGTGCAGTGTGGTTTCTTTCCGGCACTAGTTGATACTAGTTGCATCTTGTCTACTAGTAGCTGGCCAAGCATGTGGACTCTGTGGAGTCTCTCCCTTTTCACGGCAAGAAAACAAGCTCAACTGGCCCGTTGCCGTTCAGGAGCAGCTCCAGTATCACCTGGTGAGCCCAGCTTTTGAAAATGACGCAATCCGCAAGTACGCAGGTGCTGAGGCTATCTGGTGCAGTCAGAGGCCCTTTGTCCGGTTTGGTCGCCCTGTTAGTGCAACGAGCCCTTGAGTGAATCAATCCCAAAGCAAGCAGTATTCAATGATTCAACTCTGTTGCAGTGGATCAGAGGCGTGAGACACACAAGTTGATCCATCCAAAACAGGCGCAACCCTCAGAAGAACGTCTTCCAGACCGCAGCTCTACTGGTAGCAGGATTGATGCTGACTCGCATCGATCCTGGACTACTTGCAGGGTTGTCCATTACCATCCATTTCGTCGATCATTTACTAAACCAAATCTTATTCAAACAAAATTCCTAAGCAAATGTCTCGTGTATGTGATCTGATAGTATGCTGGCATGGGCGTTGGCTCAACGGCTTCATGCTACACAGCTCATCATCGACTCCTACACAAAACGCATACCGATAAAGGTTTGACAAAAGGATATAAAAGGCATCCCTGCTATATCTCTTTCCCACAGAATTTCAGGAGGTCGATGATCCACTTCCCAAGCACTTCGGGACCGAATGGTGGAAGCGAGCAGTGCCAGGTAAGCGCACACTTCCATTGTGTTTCTGCCATATCACCCTCGCTTTTCAGTCTCTCCCTCTTTATACCAACAAGACTTGCACGCGGCCAAGGCAAATTGTCGCCAAGTTGCCTGGCTGCCCGTGCAGGAGCCTGGCCCCGATCAAACCGCCGCTTTAAGGCTCTCACTCCACAGCTGCTGTCAATTCTGCACACTTCTGCAATGTATGGGGACAGGCAAGAGCCGAGAAACCAGAAGCCTTCTGCAAGCTTCGGGAACGAGGCTCTAGAACAAAATTAAACTGGTCAACGTTCAACTTCGGTTGCTCTGATCGCCTCGTCCACCCGGCAGGACAAGGATCTTGTCCCGCAGACTGCACCCATGCAGAGGGTGGTGGCGATCGATGATGGCACCGGTCTTCGGGGACACGCCACCCCAAAAGCTGAGCCCAACAGAAGACACCAGCACCTGCAAACAGAGCGCAGACTTGGAAAATTGGCACATCGCCGGCAGCCAAACATCTTCTGCCCAGTGCCTCACCGGAAGCTTTTCCACTCGAGCTGAGGGGCTGCCCCCGAATCTCATTCGGCGCATCGGCCATGGCTCGAAAGCACCAGCCGTGGCCACAGCTGCAACATGCGACTAAAGGCTCGGTAAAGCGCTCCCTTCCCTCCGACTGAAGGATGTCATGTCGAGCTTGGACTACATGACTACGTCGTGCGCGGTTCCATGCTGTCAAGAACCAAAACCGGAGCCTCAGTCGTCCATCCAAACGAAACGCGAATCTCATCACACAGACAGGCCTTCCTTAGCACAGCTTGCACATCCCGAACCGTCGTCGATTGTGCCTGCCAAGACAGATGAAAGTTTTCAAGACGCTCGGGCCTCCCATCCGTCCTGCTGGGTCTCTTCCGTCTGGGCCAGTCGCCTCCACTCCCAGCACTTCCAGCTGTCTTGCACAGTTCTGTAGCACCAACATCCGGCCTCTCGACATCCAGCAGTCGGCTGTATACGCCATCGAGATTCCTCGGGGCTTCTCAGCTCTTCCCAAGGTGGGCTTCGGAGAGTCACCTGCCGTCACCTGCCTGCTCAGCCGGATTAGCTCTCGCTCCAGAGCAGTCTCAGGTGTCTCGGCCCTCGCCAAGCACAGTGGACTTGTATCGGCAGCATCCGCCATTCTGGGCAAAGTGCTGCAATTAGTGAATGAAGCACACGGAGAATAAACTAAGCTTAATCCTTGTCTTTATACTGCATTGCTACGATCTGCTGCAGCCGCATGCTTTCCTCCAATCTACGCAATGCTGTGTTTCAAGAGCCCATGGAGCTGCAGAAAGATGCAACAATGAGAGAGCGAAACACACAGGCATCCTTGGACCCGCCCTCATCGACTTCTCAAAAATTCTCCCGTTGCTTTTTGAATCGCCTGGAGCTCAGGGCCCTTAGGGAGCTCATTCCTGCGGAGCAGCGGCAATGTGCCAACTCAAGAGGCTGCGCCCCCGAAGCACCACCTTCCTTGCCAGCACCTCGGAACGTATCCATATCCATAGCAGGACTGCCGCATAGGTACCCAGATCAGCGCCGAAGTGCCAGAAAACGTGCAGATACAGGGGGCGCACGGAATGGCAAAAGTTCCGATCGATGAGCCAGAGCAGGAAACCACCAGCATAACACAGCATTGCAGTTGTGAAAAGCAGCCACGCTGTGCTGTTCGCAGATTTCTGGCAAAACACGTACGAACTCCAAACTAGATACTGAACGCCGCTTCCATAGCAAAGCAGGAACACGTTTTGGTTCTCTGTGTCAAAAATGGCAACTGCTAGAGTTGCAAGCACCGTCAACAATGCGAGCACAATCACTTCGGCGGTCCTGCAGCTGTTTCTCCTATCGTTCATGGAACGACATATATAGATAAACACTGTGTTTGCCCACACCATGGGGAGCTCATCCAGAAGCTGCATGCTTCGGAGCAGCGTCGCATGAAATGCGAAGCTGCCTAGTCCAATCACAACAAAGGAAAAGAAAGCCAGGAGATAGCGCAGCTCAACTAAGCTGACATGCGCGCAAATGCCATAGACTCCGGTAGCAACCAAGCACAAGGAGGTCAAAGAGTTAGCAAGCTCAGCAATGTAGTAGCTTGCTGCATAGTCCCTCTCACACCAGTTTACCGATGCTGTCTTGGCACCCCAGAAGCCCGCCGTTGTGTCACCAGCACCATCAACAGGACCTCGAATGGCCAAGAGCGCGAAGAGCGGTAGAATCAATGCCAGCACAATAGCCAGTACACACTGCAAGCTCTCCAGCGCCATGAGTTCTCCCGCTGCTGCGCGAGTACACAAAGTGCTTTATTGTACAACAAAATACCTGCAGCCGCAAGTGGCAACTCCGAGACTCCTCTCTCTATCTCGGCTCCCAATCGCACTTCCAGAGTTTAGGCAAGCGGGAGGCAACCTCCTTTTGCTAGAGGGCAACCACGGCGGGTCAAGAGGTCTCGAAGAGCGGCAGATGCATGAGAAATTCAGCTTGATCATTACACAAACAAGCCGAAGCTCGTCACAGGCACCTGCCGCCCGATACGTTATCTGCCCTGGACACTGCACACAACTACATACATGCTCTGCACTTCGCAGTTGGACAAGGAGTCAGTCAAGCCTCTTGATCATGTCAGCTGCCCTTTGAGCAGCACAAGATGCAGGGCCTTGACTGGGCGAAAGTTGGTTCCAGCTTACTCAATGGGCCATTCGGGGGTGCTCCCTGTCCTCGCCAAATGCGACGGCGAATTCCGCATTTGCTGGTAAAGGCATGACTGTTCTTCTGCCGGTCTTGGCAGCAAATGCGGTAAGCCTGCACACAAAAAGCTACAATCGGCAAAAGAGATATCCGAATTGGAGCAGTCGTCACTGACGGCATGTGACTGAAACAGTGCCAGAGCATCAGTCGGGCTAACTCACGCAGCGCACCCTGACCATCGGATGGCAGCGCAGCAGCGGAGAAAGTCACACTAACCGATCACGCAAGCCTCGAAAGTTTCTGGCTTTGCCGGCTCAAACCTGCATGTGGTAGACCTTGGGAGTGGAAGGGTCAGAGAGGGTAGACGGGTAGACTCTGCGATTAAACAGAAGCCGCTGACAGACTCCAGGTCGTCCCCGGAAGTCTGCAACAGAGCGCAACAAGCCCCAAGTCTTCGAAAAGCCACACGAGCTGCCCCGCCCTCTTTCGCAAGTAGAAGCCGCCAGCGGCTCCCGCGACCAGAAAGAAGGGAACCACGAAGGCGGAGGCCTTTACAGCTGAGGCGACTTTGCACTCTCTGTTTTGCTGCTGCTCCTGCTAGGACCCGCGCGGAAGTGGTCTTTTCCGATGCCTCCAAGAGCTGCTTTGATTACGGCAAACTGCACTCGAATCCCCCACCGTCAACATGCGGAAGTGGCCTCTGCAAAGGATGCAGGAGGTGATGGCTTGTTGCCTCCCTCCTTCTGCTGCTGGTTTTTGACCAGCTCCTGGCCGGCGGATGATACTGTCAAGATCAGAGCACTCGAATCTCCAACGGCCCTGTCCTTTATCCTCTGCTGCACCTCGGAAACGCCAGGACCCAACAAGACTGTGACACAAGCCAGATGCTGCCTAACCTGACAACTTGCAATCAAGTTGCATTGTCTGCCTGGCCCACAATTGGCCAATTGGCTTAAATCTCAACTCCGGACACCCCCTCACCACACGGATGGAAATCGCTTGCAAATGAGCCAGTTCGGCGGCTGACTCCGCTTCGGCTACAGTACTGTCTGCCTTCTTCTCAACCTGAGTCCAACTCGGCCGGAGGCTATGATCGGCCAACCACAAACTGGGATATTGTCCTGGCGGCTCGAATGAAAGTGTTCGCGTTGCGTCAAGCAGCCGATTGCATGGCACTGCTGAAGCCGTTCTTCAGGGAGTCGGAAACCTGACTCCAAACAACGGGCGAATGCTCATGGCACTCATGGGCATGGCCTGGTCTACGATTCCGTCGGCCCCAGACTGGATCTCCTGTGCCTGCGGCGCCGATGTCACAAAGCCACAGAACTCGCTTCCTGGTTTTGTGAAAATGACACTTCCCAGAGCCTTCTGCTTGAATCTATCCTCCATGTCTGCAATCGTGGCCTGCACAGAAGGAGTTAGCTTCCAAGTCGGCATATCGACGTGACGTATTACATCGACATCTCCAGTGACTTGTTGAATTGAACAGCGCAACAACCTCCCGGTAAGAGTTACGCGGGACCTAGTGATAGTGGCCACGGGAGATTTCGAAGTCGAGCCAACATTTCATGCCACAAAGCATCAAGGGGTCTCAACATTCACGGCCTGGGCATCGTCGCCGCCGGAGGATGCAAACGCCAGAGGACCTGTCACGGAAGGCTTCGCACCGGAGCCGGAGTCCGTCGATCCAGCCTGGCAGAAGCCACGCTCTCGGCGAAGATGCATGTGGCAAGGATCCAACTCTGCAAGAAGCAGCACTCTATCCACTTTCTGAGAGCTTCAATGAACGATCTTCACTCGTGTTCTGAAACGGCTCTCTTGGCCATGCGACTGTTTCGCCGATCAAAGACTTGATCAAATCCAATCAACCCGCAAGGCAGCTATTCTCCCTGGGGTGAATCGGGTTGACCGAGTATGGCATCGATTAGCAAACACAAACACTTCTGGTCCATGACCATCCACCTCACAATTTAATGTGAGTCAGTGCACACTAGACATTCGGAGGCCTCTCTTGGCATCGCATGGGACAATGAATGATGATGGGTGCGGAGCCCTCCAAACAACAGTTGAAGTTAGATCTAGGTCTTTCTGGCAGGCAATTTAGCGATGCGTGCCAGACAGGCCTCGAGGGATATGAACAACTTTGCGAATCCGGAACTGTCAAGCTACGTATTTCGGGTATTTCAGGCCATATGCCCAGCATTGCTGTGCCAGGCCTCATTCTCAAGACAGACTAGAATCACACTGGAACTTCGATGATGCATGCATGGATAACAGCATCTGATGAACGCTAACCGCTCACTGCACGGAGGCATGCAGCATCGGTGCCAGCGCTAGTTAAAGCGTATTTGTCCCTGCAACTGCGCACACTCGGGCCAGCGTCTAGGGCTAGCTCGCAGATCCCAGGCTGCCTGAGGCTTACAAGACATGCGTACACTTCCAAGAGGGACTGCCGAAAGCTGCCCAGCGCAACACTGCCCGAATCTCTCGCGGTCAAAAAACACTTTTTACAGGCCTCAAATCGGGATTCCAAGGGGCCAGCATTGCCGATAGAGCCTAAGGCTCTAGTGGAAAAGGGAATGCTCCCTGCAACTTGGACTCCGAAGCCATCAGCTCCTTTCACGGCTGCGCGATGGGCTCGCCGTCCGGACAGTGGGCAGCACCAACTTGGACCTCTGAAGCGGTCACGGGCAAGGCTTTAGACAGGCCTCGGAGCCACTTCCGCGATGCCTGCGGCCCAAGGCTGGGGCCCTGGCCCTCTGCGGAGGTGCACGGCCATCCGGGCGAAGTAGGGGGCGGACAAACTCGCCTGGAACTCCGAGACGGAGGTGACATCCAAGCCACTGAGGCCTTCCTATCCTCTGCATCAAGGCCACTCGCTTCAGAAGGTCTGGCTCGGATTCTGGAGCGTCGACACCTCCGTTTGGGAAAGGAGGACTCTCCAGCGAGACAGGAATGTCGCGGCATGAACCATGGCATGTGGCTCATTGCAGGCCAGGGTACCCTCTGCTGTTTCCTCTGCCAAAGTCCTTATGTGAGCGGACAGCAAAATTCATGCCAGACGTATGAGGCTTGCCGGCGAGGGGCTCGTTGCAGACCACAGCACCAATGAGCAAGGCTCCTCCGCGTCGCGGGAAAGCTTTTGCACGTTCACCTGCCTTTACGGCTTTACGGCTTGCTCACGTAAGCGGCCGCCTCCGAGGATCTCATGAGGTTGCAGCACCTCGGGCTCGGATACCACTGCCTTGTGCCTTCTTCCTTCATGGAGTGTCGTCCCGGGGGAAGCACGTCGCCCAAAAGTGCCATAGCAGCGACGGCTGCCCAGAGTGGCTCAGAGGCGGCAATAAGGGCCACGTCGGAGCCCTTGACCCTGCGAAGGGCTTCGTTGGCCAGCCACATGGTCAGCACCTCGCCGCAGGGTGCGAGGGCTATGTGCAGAGTGCCATGATGACGAGCAGTGGCTGTAGCACTTTGTAGGCTCTGAACAAATCAACATAATCAAAGGAGCGTTGCCCACCAGAGCCGAAAAGCAGAGCGGTCCGAGGAGCCCGGGCGCCTGTCGGTGTCGGCCAGGCTCTCTGGCCACTCAAGCTTGCAACAGCTTGCAGCGCTTCATCTGCTAGGGAACGCGCTGCAGCAACGCAGGCGTTTAGCATGCACCGGAGCATGACAAAGCATCCGACCGCAGTGGGAACGCAGTGAGGACTATCTACAGATTTGGGATATACTGAATCAGCGGGGGAAGCTCGCTTCGCTCTCAAGCACAAGTTCATGTAAAGATGGCGTGCCTGCAGAACTTGGGGAAGCTGCATGCCCAGCTCCATAGCTCCATCTCCACCCTTCTGCCAGGCGAGCCATCCGATGTTCGCCAAGGCCGTCATCCCAAGCTGGATGGCCGTGGAGGGCAGCGTGTCCTGTGGATGATCCTTCCTTCGCTCCACCGGATTTTCAGGGCTTATCAACACCATGGATTCCAAACTGCCTTTGTGATCTGGGTGGTTGTCAAAATTATGGTCCCTTTTTTCAAAAGGGACCATAATTTTGACAACTACCCATCTGGCACTGGACACTCTTCTCTGGCCAAGGATCATTGTTTGACCCAGCACATACCATCCTGCTCCGAAGGAGAGCGGGACTAGGCTGGCAACCAGATCACCGATGCCCAAATCCAGCGCTCCACCGCCAGCGAACTCGAGCACTCCGACTCCTTCGGCTCTCAAGCCGAGCGAGAAGCCGCTGCTGCTATCTGCCGAATTCAGAGCCTGTGACCGCCATCGCAGCCGCTGCCAGGGTGCCAAGATTTAAGCGCCCCGCAGCAATGCAGGTGATTCCTGTCACAGAAAGCACCAAGCACCAGCGCGCCGCTGCACAGAGCCGCATGCTTGCGAGTCTGCGCCTGCGCAGACGACGGCTTGAAGTGAGCCGAAGAAGGAGGTCTTCGCCGCAGTGGTCCCCAATCCTTTGCAAAGAGCCCGCTTCGTGACCGCTCTGCTCTGCGCTTTGGTGCCCAATGGTGCCCAGCCGGGAGTTCCCTGCATCCCGAAGCGCCGTTAAAAGTTGCGTTTAAAGTTGTCTTCAG